ACCCCTCCCTGAAGCCCCTTGAAAACGAGTCACTTTAGAATATGATGATTCTGTCTAAGCTCATTTCACATGATGTACTTAAGAACTTAACTATACAAAGGACTGTGCTTTGGGATTTTATCTGTGTTATAGACATGACTTTCTAGCATGGCAGAATTTTCATCTTTAGAACTATTTTGTTTTCGAATTTGGAGAACATTTTAGGATGTCAGTATCTCAGTATTGCAGATGTCAATATTGCAGATGTCAGTATCTCAGTATTGCATTTTAGGATGTCAGTGTCTCAGTGCTAAGTATTGCAGTTTGCTGAATTCTGAGGTTCAGTTATGTGTACAGTATATTTCAACTTAACTGTTGAGTATTTGTAAAATGCTTTGGATTTATAAGGCTGAATATAAATAGGTATTATTAAGTATATTTTGTATTAACCAGCCTGATACAGTATAACAAGAATCTATCATCAATTCATATACTAAATCCTCTAAGTTTTAGGACCAGGTAGTGTGACTTTCAAGAAAAAAGTACATAAAATAATTTGTTGAGCTCTTCCTTTTGTAATCAGGTCAGTAAAATGTATTGCTTAGTCTGACTTTTGATTTTCATGATTTATGTGACCAAACCTGTATAGTGCTTATATATTTAATTCACAAATGGGGCTATACATAAGAAGCTTTATGGCTACCATGTGCTTAGTTCTGGCTATCAAACCCCTTCTCTGTGTGCCCCCCCCCCCCCGGTTTCCTAGCAACCAACCAGCTTTGTAGCTGCTTTCAGCCTTATTTAAGGACTTTAAAATGTTTGGTTGAAAATGAATTTGGTTTATCATTTTGTTTATGACGAGGAAATAAAATCCTTCCTGCAGCTCCCCTTGTCTGCAAACAGCAAACTGGAGTCAATGGGATCCGCAAGGCTCCATGGTCATGCTGCCGGTAAATAAACACACCAGCGCTGCCAGTTAGCAGCTTTCTCAAAGTGGTTTCAGGGACCACTTTGAGAAACACTAAACTACACTGGTATACATCTTTTGAAAATCTGATCCAGTGTCTCTAAGAATTTGCATGTAGATACCTTGTATAGCTGAAAGATATTAAAGATGTTTAATGATCATTGGCTATACATCTAAGAAACTCAAGTCTGTTATTTATCCCATAAGGTCTGGAATATATTAATCTAAAATTCCTGCCTCAGAAGCCACTTGTTTCACAGATCAATGGAAAGATATCATCTGCATCTTATTTCTAGGTGCGTTACAAATACAGCAGAGCGTTTGGGGGTCTGATCAAAAGACCACTGAAATCAAAGGAAAGATTCCCACTGACTCTGCTGGACATGAGAGCAGGCCCTTAAAGATCTTTGCTTTTTGCATTATGGCAGAATCCCAGATTTTGCTGTAGGCTTTGGATTCTGATGCTGCTCTCATTAAAGTAAATGGGAATTTTAATAGTGACTTTAATAGGAGCAGGAGCTGGCCTTTTATGGGTACAAGTCATGCATAGAAGCATAAAGGTTTAATGACTGGAAAGAACTCTATACGTAGTAATATGCTATCCCCCCCTTTGGATGCGATGATATAGTCAATTGTGGTATATCCAGGTAACTAGAGTATAATACAGTATTTCAAGTGATAGAGATGCAGCCGTGTTAGTCTGGTCTAGCTAAAACAAAAGACAAAACTATGTAGCACTTTAAAGACTAACAAGATGGTTTATTAGGTGATGAGCTTTTGTGGGCCAGACCCACTTCCTCAGATCAATTTGTGGAAGAAAATTGGCACGACCATTTATACCAAAGTGATACAATAAAAAAAAAAGTGAACACATATAAAATTGACAAATCAAATTTTAGAACAGAGTGAGGGTGGGGGGGGGGGAGGACATTAGGGGTGATAATTGGGGAAGCTATCTTTGTAATGGGTGAGATAATTAGCATCTTTGTTGAGACCTATACATAAAGTGTCAAATTTAAGCATGAATGACAATTCTGAAGCTTCTCTTTGAAGTCTGGAGTTAAAATCTCTCTGCAGCAATATGCATGTTTTAAGGTCATAGAGAGAATGTCATCAAGAACATTTTAAGAAATTGGAGGAAATTCAATGCTGAGCAACAAAAAAGATGAGAGGACAACAGGGAAATGACTTGCAAAGATAAAAAAAAACCTAAATTGATATAGGATGACCAAAGGCAGGAAGGGTCTGATTAACACCTCACAGATTAGATATTTCAATGATTGAAACATCGAGGAAGTGTGGTACATAGGATATAGTGATGACTAACAGACTGTGATTCCGAAATACATAATTTAGGCTGATTGACAGGGAATAGTCTGTAATAGAAAGACCTGTTTGGCTGTAGTAATTCTCTCAAGGAAAGCAGTGAATCCCCTCACTTGCAACTGTGAAAGCTACACTGGACAAAACCTTAGCATGTGCACTGGAAGGGACAAGCCTTAATTATACTGACAGTATAATCCAATAGATATTTTCCATCTCAGTTTTCTGTGATTCTGAAATTGCTACCAAATGTGCCCATCTTACTTGCTCCAGAAATTTTATTGATGCCCTGTACCTAAAGTCGTTGTGATGCCAGTGGGACACTTTGGATGAATAAGCTGGACAAGTTTTGGCTCTGTATTTTTTATGTCCTTTAAACTGCTTACTATAACTTTCTCCAGTGATGATCCTGTCTGTTTGTAAGTTCCCCCAAAGCCCAGCTTATGATCAGTTTTGTTAGTGTACAGGAAGTCCCCGGGTTACATGGATCCGACTTACATCGGATCCCTACTTAAAAACGGGGTGAGGCAACCCCGCACTAGCTGCTTCCCCCCAGCAGACCAGGGAGACGCGAAGCTAGCGCTCCCCTCCCCCCAGCAGAACAGGGAGATGCGGAGTGGTTTTTCTCAGCAGACACCTCAGCTTGAGAATAAAGGACTGAGGGAAGTGAAGTGTGGGAGAATAAAACTGAGCTCTGGAGAAATGTTTGGCTAGAGTTTCCCATACAATATGTACCAGTTCCGACTTGCATACAAATTCAACTCAAGAACAAACCTACAGTCCCTATCTTGTACGTAACCCGGGGACTGCCTGTATTGAGTTGTATTGCACCTGGTATTCCAAAGTACTGATGAACAGTTGCAGCTACAAATCAATTAACATCTTTGTTTCTGTATAATCAAAAGAGAATAAATTTACAATAGGGGTCTTTAAGGTAAGATAAATTTAATGTAAAGGCCAAGATGTAAACAAATGAGTTCTTAAAGTTAGGTTTCAAAGATCACATTTGATTACAATGGGAAGTGCACAGCACATTTGAAAATCAAGCTGCTTTGATCATGTATGAATATGGATTCAAGCCTAATTTTGAGGGCTCATTTTTAAAAACAATATAAAAGAAAAATTTAAAATCATATAAATGAGGGAGATTGATTAAAAACTTACATTTGTCTATCTTTAATTCTGATTATTTACGGCTTATAGAAAAGAATATCGTGATTTTTTTTTAAAAATAAGCAGTTTATTACAAAATATTTTTATTCAGATGTTACACTGTAGAATTGGACAGATTACAACACAGAAAATAGAGGCTTACCCTCATAAAATAAACCAAGCAACTGATGTGGTTGTTACATTACAAATCAAATGTTGAAAATATATATGTATATTTATTTTAAATTGAAACATGTTTGCCTTCATCATGGAAGAAAAAAGGAAAGATGAAGCTAATTGCTGCTGGCAAAAATATAAATATAATCAAGAGTATGCTTAGAAAAAATGATACTTATGGAAATGCCCTATAAAATTTACTACAGAATGGCTACGTCTTTTCTAAGAGTTTTCTCTGCAAGAAATATGCTAATGAGGGACTAATTTGCATGAGTCACGATCTCATTTGTATATTTTTTGAGGATCCGTTTTTAGGCAGAAACAAGCAGTGTGGATGTTTTCTTTTTGCGCAAAAGCCCCTTTTCCCACAAGATCCTTATGCCCCAAAATGGAGGTTTACCGATCTTGCAGAAAAAGGGGGTTTTGCGCAAAAAGAAAATGTCCACATTGCTTGTTTTTGAGCAAAAACCCTAACGCAAAAACGGATCGGCAGAAAATATGCAAATGATATCATGACTCATGCAGATGAGTCCTTCATTAGCATCATTAGCATATTTTTTGCTGAGAAAATTCGTAATGTAGATGTAGCCGATGTGATTTTTTTTTGTAGGTGTGGTGTGTGTGTGTTCTTTGCATTCTGTAGAAATTAACACAGAATTCTGTAGGCTAATCTTAAAAAACCCATAGTGATATCAAATTCTGAGCCCAGTTCTGCAACTCTTAGCTGTATTTAATAGACTCTTCCTCTGAGAGTTCTTTATAAATAAATGGGATTATTTGTGTATGAGATACTATTGAACAGAAGAATGGCAGAATCAGGCTTTGTAGTTTTAGAATAATTCTATAGAACTTAATTGGTTTATCCAGATTCCATTTTATAGGCATTTTCATAAAAGCTACTTTATTGATTTCCTTACTCCATGTGAGTAAAAGTAAAAAAAACCCTGACCTGTAAATAAGATACTCATTGCCAGGCAGAACCTGTCAGTTCTGTTTTTTAAAGGTGTACTTCCCCAATACGTAGAAAAGTTTAATAAAATAACTTTTAGATCGAATTTCACTTAGCTATGAATTTTGACCATTGTGTTCAAATATATTACTTAGGATGCATATCACCAGAACAAATAAATATTGAATCCTTGGGATTGCAGTCTTGTGATAAATGTACTGTGGTTGTTCATTATGTCATAATTTAAGCAATACATTAATTAAAACGACCTTTGATAAAGTTTCCTAAAGATTACTTGGCTGATCATCTTTTTTTCTATTAAAAATCTCTGTTTAAGAAAAGGGAAGCCGAGTTTGTGAGGCAGGACTTAAGATGCTGACTTTTTGAAAATGGTTTTTGTAAATATCACTTATGTTTGGTAGATAATCAATTAGATCTATGCTTTATTTGCAGTTCTTTCCAAACATTTTTTTCTCCGAGCCTCACCATTCTACTCAGCATTCTGCGGTGGGTCCTGTCAGCACCCTGTATCCCCCACTGCTTTTCCAAGTAAGTTTTTATGCTTCATCAGTAATGCTTGAGTTATTCTGTAAACCAAAGCAGCAGGATTTAATGTGTCCTGGAAAACTAATTGGTGATGCAATGGTAGCAGCTAATTCCTCAGTAAAATCACAGCGATCCTATTCAGACTGTTTCCAAAGATTTATCAAACTTAAGTACACTGAGCAATTGTGAGAAATTTCTAATGGCATTTGGATGTGCAGGCAGCTAATCAAGGAACACTTCTTGTTTTCAGTTTTCTAGAAAAGATCCTTTCAGAGTCAATAACACTTTTAAAAAACTGTATCAATATGTATTTGCAAACAGGAAAAGAAAAGAACTGAAAGATCATAAAATGGACACTGCATATTAATGTCTGCTTGGCATAAATTATGATTCAGGAAATATTACCTTTATTTAAAAAAAATCCTCAAAACCCAACTATTCTGATCATAGCACACAAACACTTCTATCCATTTAATTTTGTTTTAGATTATAATGTTATAACCGGAAGATGATTTGGTCCTTGTATTTATACATTTGGGATGGAAGCTTAGTTATGTATTTCCACTTAATCAGAGTCCAAATTTAACCTTCATTTTTGAGGTTTATTGTGTATCATATGAGATTATTAAAGAGTTTGGATGTTCATGACTCAGGAAGAAAAGCTGAACATACATGTCTTAGTTCCTCAGAATTGATTATAAAATACAGCATGGTATGTCAATCCAAATAGAAATTGCAATTAATGCATTCTGGACCATATATTTTTATCACAGTAAAATTCAAACCACTGCTGACTATGTGCATGTGTTTTATGAATGTTTCTGAAGGGCAGTTGCTAAGTCCAATGATTCCTGACAAGTGAGGCAGCAAATGCTGGCAGTTTAATGAGCTGCAAGTTTCTGAGCACCTCTTTAGGGAGTTGACACTTTCCCACAGAGCATTTTACATGGCCCAGGCTAGATCACAATGGCTGACAGCACCATGACCAATCACCACTTTCACTTTACGCATCCACACGCGACCTCACCACAATTTTTCACTGTGCAGATGAACTTTAGGAACCATTTCATATTGAAAAGGCCTGGGCAAGGGTCAGTTGCCCTTTTGTATGGTCATAAAGCAATGCTCTATGTTCCAGTCTTTTCTCCTGTCTCACATTCCAAGAGAATTTCTGGACAGCATTTAAAGCACTTGACTGAAAAATAAAGCAGTGAATGAAACTGACTTTTATAGACTCATTCTAGCTCATCTTCCCATATAACCCTGTCTACCTGAAAAGGGATTTAGTGGATGAGCTGAGTGTATACAGGGACTTGCTGAATACATAGGGCCCATTATCAACTGTGGGGATTGTTTATTAACCAGGACTGATACACTACTATTTTGGAAGTGACCTATTAATTGTCCATTTAACTAGAATGTATTGAATTCACATGAAAAAATGGAAACCATGACTAAAGCTTTTACTCACTCCTTCAAGGTGGTCTCTGCCATGAAGGCAAATTAAGATTGTTCCACAGATTAAGAAGACATTTATCACCATATACTAGCCTACGAAGGAAAGACTTTAAAAAAAAAACAAACAAAAAACCCCATGCTAAACATTTGGTACCATATTAGCATTTATGTCAAAATGTAATTAAACCT